TACATACATACATACATACATACATACATACATATAATATTATATAGTCTCTACCCTTGTTACAAAAAGTCCATGAAACATTTCAGTTGGTAACAAAATAAAAATAAAACAGAGAAGAAATACAGTAAAAAAAATGGGTCAAAGAGAAATGCAGTACTAGGTTGGATATCCCCTCCTATTTTTCATCTTGTCCTACTGATTCTTTATGATTTATCAATTGTTGTTTGTAACTAATGATTGTAACTATTATTATGACCTATTACTTGCTGTTTATATGTACAGTGAATTGGTGCACTGGGGACAAATTCCTTGCGTGTTTTATCATACTTCATCAATAAACATTTCTATTTCTATTTCATTCTATTCCTATTTCATTCTATTCTATTCCATCCTATTTCATTCCCATTCCATTCGATTCCATTTTCCTGTTCCATTCTATTCTAAGCATGGAAGCTTAAAACTAAAAAGATGTAGTGCTTTATTTTTTTTTTCAAAGCAACTGTTGAAGATGTTTTGTGACAGCTACCTTTTTTCCCCTCCGCCCCAAACTCCTGGAATCCTCTTGATCCCAAGTTTTCCAACCACTCATTCATTCATAGATATTGCAGGAAGAAAACGAAGGCAGGTCTTCTTGTGAATGGACAGAAGTTTTTACAGAAAAGGGAGAACCCGAAGGTCTGGAGCCAGCTGCTGCAAAGTGCCCATGTGAACTTCCGAGTCTCTGAGGAGGAGGCAGCTGCGGACTGAAGGGACATTGTCGCCATCCTTCCTGCCTCAGTTCTCGGCTCCTCCTTCCTGGCTTCCCCTCCCCTCCCCACTGGAAGACCGAGCTCAGCCTGGCCATCTCTCAGGGCGCTGCCTCACCAGCATTCAGACGCTCCATTCTCTTCCCTTCCCTCCTCTCGTCAAGCGCAGCCATCCGATCTGCCTGCCAGTGCCTCTCATGTCCTAATTGGCTGGTCGCCGGCTGTCCTCATGCCGCTGCTCTTGTTAGGTAGCCCCTCCCTTTCCCAAGGCAGCCCCTGATGCCATCACTCCCCTACCTCCAAACACTGGCATGCATGTATCTCGGTTCCTAAGACCATCGAAAATGTGTTTTACAGTTGTCTTAGGCAGCCCCTGTGAAAAAGTCGTTCCAAAGGGGACGCGACCCACAGGTTGAGAACCGCTGTTTTAGAGGAACATTCTGCATCAGCTATTGTACTACATTTTTCTCAGGTTTGACAAGCTTCTGTAAGAGAAGTATATAATTCTTAAATCCCTTTTGGTTAATTGTACTGCTTTATTTACATACATACATACATACATACATACATACATACATGTGTGTGTGTATCTGTGTGTTTGGGGGTGCTTATATCTATGTGTCTATATGAGGTATTCGCATAGTGTTGGTATTATATTATCGAGATGAGTAATTTTAAATTTTTCTTGCATATGTGTAGCCTGAGCAAGCCTTTTAGGACATTTTGATGGGTCTTGTAGTAAGTCGATTACCTGACCTGATGTAATCTCCTTATCACAAGACCTATCAAAGATTCACTGATGACCCACAGCTGACCCATCACAAGATCCTCATTTGACACATCCATACCTGAAGCTCCTATAAACAGAAGAACACTGACCGTGACATTCCCTAAACTCCACTGAAGATGTTACCTAGCCTGATAATGAAATGTTCAGAAACCAATCCACAAGCTCGGAGAACGATCCTTCACCCTCATATTCTGCATTCAACAGGAGTTTATCTCTTTGCAAACTTTCATAAAAAATACCATCAGTTTTCCCCTTTCAGCCCAAATTTTGTCCTTAATTTAATTTAATTAATTGTCTTTAATCAGATCTCTCATTGCTCAATTTGACTATGTTATTTGGGGATGGGAGAGATTGAGCCTTTCCTTTATCAAAAAGTACTCTCATATAAGTAAAATATGTAATCAAAATCATTCAGAAGAGGAAGTTCTATGGTAACTGTTGAATTCACCATATCCTGTCTTATGCGTCATTTTCATTTCTGCTTCTCTGTAACTGAATGGAATATCCATAAATTTTTGTTTGGTTTGGGGATGAGACAGGGGGAAATGTTCTTAATGAATCACGCATATTCATTGCATCACCGTGGGCAGGGGAGGGATTTCCCCCCAAGAAAACATTCTTAGTAACAAGAACATTTATCTGTGGTTATTCTTTGCAATCAAGTTCCTTGAATTTAAGCGGGCAATTTTGCTCATCTTGAACATAGAAAATAAAGTATTTATATATACTGAGATAATTGCATTTATTAAAAATGATCAGCTTTCTTCAGTTTGGTGCTCTCTGAATATAACACCTAGCCACTCTATTCAGAAGGTTAATTAATTATGGACAGTTTCATTTAAATCAATCTTTACAAGATAAAATTTTACTAAGACCTTCAGTTAACACTTTCTTCAATCAATTTTGTTGGGAATACAGTTCTTTTTTATTTTAAGGAATAACACATTTTTGGGAAAATATTTTCTTAGCATTTAAAATGCATATTTTGTGCTGTGAAATTGTTCATTTTTCCCCCTGCTAAGATAGCATTTGCAGTAGAAATTGTTCTGAACACTGATCTTGTCTGGGAATTCTGGTTGTTGAAATTCAGCATCTATGGAAAGCATTGGGTGAAAAATAACACAGATGTGATCTTGGGCCACATATAAAATATACACTATATAATATAGTTAACATAACACATATATAAATAACAACCTTCCTTTATTTTTTATTATATTTTGTGGGCAGCATGACTGTCCAGGGTCTTCAGGCCACGGGTCGGACACATCTCCTCTAGGTTATCTATCTATCTATCTATCTATCTATCTATCTATCTATCTATCTATCTATCTATCTATCTATCTATCTTTCTTTCTTTCTTTCTTTCTTTCTTTCTTTCTTTCTTTCTAATTTATTGGTTTCCCCCCCCCCCCATTTTACTTTAGGAAGCAGAAACTGCAACATATCTTTTCCTAAATTTCTAAAAACAAATTTATTTTCATTAAATCAGGAAAAAAAACCTTCAGTATAATTGTGAATTTGAACATCTTTCAAGAGGAAGAGAAAATTTTCAATATTTCACCTAGTAAAATATTCTGTAACCATTTCCAAAATGTGTTTGGACTTCATAAATTTAGGCACTTCATAAATCATTTTCTCTCCTATTTGTTACATTCATTGCTTTCTTTTGAGATTCCGAGCAACTTTAATTGCAATGGTCATAAATCTTTAAATTGGGAATGAAGAAAACAGTGACTGAAAACTGTGAAGTGTCTTTTGGAGCTTTCTATGCAATAGTTCTATGGAATACAATCTCAGACATGTTTTGAGCTTATACTGTTCAGAAACTGCTACAAATCACATGACTTCAGCTGGCTTGGAGAACCAAGTCAACTTATTTCTCATTCTGTGCTAGTTTGTTTAAAACCAGAGCATAGCTTTTTCTCTTTTTGCAGAGTAGCACCGCAACAACTCTTACTTGATGGCCATTTTGTCTTTCCTAAGAAAGACACCTTTTGAGTGCCATTTTAATTTCTGATGGTTGTAAATTGAAGACACTTCCAAACCTGTAGTGGTATGGAAGTGCCTTCTCTGTTTAAGACTGTTCTTAAGAAAACTGTTTTTCAGCAGAGGTTTAAAACCTGCTTGTTGTTCGTTTTAAATAAACTCCATTTTCCTATTTCCTTTTCTTCATCATTTGAAACACATGACTGAAAAAAGCTAAATTTATTCATGTTTAGCTACAGTAAATTATACTGTTCATGTTTCAGTAACGGTTTGCAGTTCCTCACATGAATATATTTAGAAGCATCTGTTTTCTTCTGTCTTAAAATTACTGATTGTTTCTAAAACAGGTATGAGACTAATATGCTAAGTTTTTAAGGCAACCTAACCATTTGTCTAAATAATACCCTTATATTTCCCATAATTATTACTTCATAATGTCTACTTTGCATATGTTTTGCATGTTTTTATCTTTCAGATGACCTCTAAATTGAGAAATATTTTTTCCTAGGACATTGATACTATTGCTTTAGTTAAAAGTAACATCTTCAAGAAAAAAAATTAAATTCAATAGTACAAGTTTTAAGATTGCAATTACATATTTCCCTTCTCATTTGTAACTTCTTCAAACTTTTATCTATTTGTGCATCTCAGAAAAACTGTTGCAGATTGTATTTCCTGTGGTGCTTCCAGATCAAAGGTTTATTGTGCAGTCCTTTAATATTAAATTTTACTATTTCCTAATGTAAAAAATACATTATGATTTTTATTTAACAGCCTCTAAATCATTTACCTGGAAGCATTCCTAAAAAATTTCATTTTTAACTTTATAGAAGGACATTTGTTCATCCTGAGCAGTAAAATGTTTCCTTTTACTTGCAGTATAGAATGTAATATTTTAAAAAACCCAAACAATTGATTAATAATATAATTAATATATGGATATTTTCCACAAAAATCTTCCTTCAAAATTTACAGTTTAGAAATTTAGGAAGATATGTTAGAAAAATAAAGAGATATTTTCCTGCTTCTTTGGAATGTCTGTAATTAAACTATATTCCTAATAGTTTACCTTTTATTTTTCAGGTTGTTACATTGTGGTATAGAGCTCCTGAAGTTCTGCTTCAATCCAGCTATGCAACACCAGTTGATCTTTGGAGTGTAGGTTGCATATTTGCAGAAATGTTCCGTCGCAAGTAAGCACTAATTTGAACCCTTTCTGTATGGAGAAAAAATAGCTTCATTTATAGTATATCTATACTATGTAATCAATATTATAACATGATACTAGTATCATATGAACTGTTATTTTGCTTATTATAATGAATGATTAATTTACTTAAGAATGTCTTAATCAGATCAGATTTTAGGATGGTGAAATAATATATTATTAATATATTATTTAAAACAATATGGTTCAGAGATTCATGATGCAACAGCAAGTAAAAATGTCAAGGCAGACTGGAATATATGCACCTTGGGGAAATTTGGAAAATAAAAATGTTAGAACCTGGCATTAAACAATTGTAAAGTAGAAGCCATGGGAAGTCCATAGGAAAGATACCAAAATGGTATTCCAAAATAATATTCAAAATAATGAAATTGTTAGAAGATTTAGCAATAAGCTAAAGAAATATTGACTACTTGCAGTACCTGTTTCCTCTGCTCTCTGCTATCCTCTGTTTTCATCCATTTCTTTGTAACATTCAGATGATCACTAGAAATCCATCAGATCTGAAATTGAGTCTTTGACAGTTGTTTTATATTTTCTTTATGTTCCAAACAGTGCTTCTGTTGATATTTATAAACCCAGTTTATTGAATTATTCATAATGAGGCTTTTGGATATGATTTCTGAAATATATTATCGTGGAGAGACATATTTCTGAGTTCATAGCATGGGATTCTCAAATTGTTTTCTATTGAAATCCATGGTGGATTTCTTTTACATAATAAGATTAGTATATTAGCATTGTTACTTAAGCATTTTAGTATTTGTTAATTTAATTTAGAAACAATTAAACAATTTCCAAATATTAAAATAAAAATATTGGTCTATGATATTAAAATTGAATTAAGTTTCTGAAATACACAAAACCTAAATTTATGAAACACTAAATTTGATTGGCTAGAATTGAAAGCAGTTGAAATAATACAAACATAAATGATTACCAACTGTTTCCTTACACCGAATAGCAATAGCACTTAGACTTACATACATCTTCACAGTGCTTTATAGCCCTCTCTAACGGGTTTACAGAGTCAGCATATCACCGCCAATAATCTTCTAGGTCCTCGTTTTACCCACCTCGGAAGGATTGAAGGCTGAGTCAACCTTGAACCTGGTGAGATTCGATCTGTCAAACTGCTGGCAGCCAGTGATCAGCAGAAGTAGCCTGCAGTACTGCACTCTAACTACTGCGTCACCGCAGCTCCATTGCCATTCTACAACTGTTTGCTATATTGCTTCAAGAGCAAAATAATATGCATTAAATGTTTTATTTGGAATTTTTAGCTTAATTTAATCTTCATGCCAGCTTACTCGTATTATTGTTTTGTCCTTAGAATAGAATTGGACTTTTAGCTAATCATGGTTATGACACTGGAGGAAGAGGGACTTGCAACTTAGGAGAGATAAGAGGATAAGAGAATTGTCTCCAGGTCTAGATAGATAATATCTCAGGATAATGAAAGAACTAATAGAGGTTATTTCAGCACAACTCTCCAAAATTTCTGAAAATTCAGGATTTGTAAGATTCTAGATTCCAATTCTTACATATTGGAGGAAGACAAATGTCATTTCTATCTTCAAAAGGGAGAAAAGGTGGAACTTCAGAAACTGCAGTCCAATCAGCTTGACCTCTATATTAGAGAAGGTCTTCAAACACATTCAAGTAGCATATCTGTTAATATTTGGATAGGAATGCTACAGTTATTAGGAGCCCGCATGAGTTTGTTGTTAGCAAACTAAACTAGAATAATGTGACATAACCACAGGACATTTTATCACTTGGGTTATGTTGCATTTTATGTTCTGATGCTAGTGTAAGATACTACTTTATCTCCTTTGATCGAGTTGCTAGCAGAGTAGATTTTCAGAATAATGTAGGCATAGTTTACTTGGATTTCAGCAAAGGTTTTGACAGATGGAGAATGTTAATAAATCTCAAACAGTCTGTTCCCAAAAGGAAAGTTTAGGAGGAAAAATGGGAAGTAAGCAAAGGGAATCTTAATACATATCAAGATTAGAAGGAAAAGGTTCAGAGTCAGTGAAGAGTGGAACATTGTCAAACCAGATTCCAAATTGGTAACTGAGAAAATAATTTAAGTGTGTTGACTAAGTACTGATTCTGTTGACATTGTGTTCATTAAACAAGTCAAACAGTTGATATTTATGCCAGAATCCTATTCCAAATGTCTTCTCCTACCTCTCTGTAAAATGTTTCAATGTTTAAAACTAGGCCTGAATGAGCATTTCTGACTTAAGGATCTGCACCTATCAATTATTTACTATTCTAGATATTTTCTTTAGTTTTTAAATTCCAAGTTCTGAGACAGTACAATTTATTGGATATTTTCACACAGAATTCTAAGGCATAGGTCAATAGATCACTATTCAAGATCTGATGGCGAATTTGCAATATGGCTATTTTTGTTTCTTTAAATCTTGGTTAGCTAATTTTTTTACTTGCCAGGTTTGAATTTGTGACAAAATGATGGTAGTGCAGCAAATTAGCAGATGGGAAGAATAAAGGAATGGCAGGAGGCAGAGTCTTACAGGTAGTGCAGTGGTGACTACTAGAGTATGAAGAGGGGAACTCTCTATAGTAGTTGAGTGGAGCTTGAAAGAGACTTTTGTTCTCTGAAAAAGGGAATGGCTTCTGCAAGGGGAATGGAGCCCTGATACCCAAGGTTCACTTATAATATCATCAGAGTTCAGGTACTTTTGCTGACAACAAGGGAATAAGAGAAAGAAACAAAGAACTTAGCAACAGCATGCATGCCCATTTATTTCACAACCCCTCTAAGCTTCTCATATGGATAATTCATCGTTTTGAATATACAGATGGTAACATCAAACTGGGGAGACCCAGATTTGGGTCTAAGATCCCTTCAGATTTATTGACAGATGAACTGCATAATGATTTAGCAAAGTTTTGCCTTTGATAGTCGCCATCAAAATGAACTAATTCAGAAATTGGATAAGCATATTATGTAAACAAAAAAAGTTTAATCATTCTCAAATATGGGCATAACATTTTCCCCACAAAATATACTGAATGCTGGTTTTCTTTCACATTCATATTACATTTCTGAATCTAAAAGTTTCTTTTCCAGCTCTGTTTGTGCACCCTGGGGCAAAGACTTAAGACTCTGGCAAAAATATTGCTTTTCTGCAAATTAGTATGCCTTGCTGCCTTTTTGTCTGGCAATCAAATATGATTCAAGCTGTCATTGTTATCCTATTACATAGAGAGGTTGTGTTAAATTAGAGGCCTGCATTTATTCAGACTTATGGTAGAAATTCAGAACTTGGAATCAGAATGAAAAAAGATAATCTAATAGACTGGCCACCTGTCTAGGGATGAATTAAAACCTTGTTTAGGATTAGCTCATCAGTTTCTAATATATCTCTATACCCATAAGACAGAAAGACTTAAAGGGAAGATAAAGTGCTATCTAGATGTTTTCTAATAGGATGAGAAGATGACGATCTCTTCATATAAAATATTTAGAAATTAATAGGACAAAGTTCAACATAGCTGCAGATGTGCTTGGATTGGGAGCAACAAAAATGATGCATAGCCATGAATACATTTACACTGATATAAAAAATTAAAATTTCCACAATTGATTTTATTTTTAATTCATATAAAAAGAGTGGATACCCAATTATTTCTACACTTTTATTATATCTAAATTTTCATTAAAATACAGATAAACTGGGACTATATATTCTTATATTAGAAATCCTTATCTTTAAAGCTTTATTTCATACAATTATATCTTAAGCCCGAGCTGATTTGATTTAGAGTCTAAAGCAAAAAACCTACTAGGAAAAAAGAGCTTCTTCAGGAGAAGTCCTACATGGTGATTTAATCTTTCCATAATGGGATAGAGATGGCACATTTTTGTCTTTTTGATGCAGATATTTTGACATGCCACATGTTGGATAACTCATTATCTTAGCAAATATGGAACCAGTAGATAATAAACAATAATCTTGTCATATGTCTAGGATCAATCCTCTTAAAATAAATAATCTCATAGAGACTTTACTCATCTCTTTGCTTGAAGTCACCTTTATTTCCCTATATAACCATTTTTAAGACTAGGTTATAATTGCAGATTTTACTGTATATTCTTTCCTTTTCCTTTTTTCCCTTATTATTTTAATTTTACATTCTTATTTCATTGAATGAAATGATTATAAAAGTAACATTGACAAAAAGAATTTGTTTATTGTAAAAAGTATATTACAATTTTTCTGCAGGCAATATTATCTGTGTTTCCTCTCAGCACCTTTGTTATTTGTTAGTCTAATACTTCAGTTAGATTTCTAAAAATGTATGTATGTAGATTATTAAAGACACAAGTTCACATTATGTGTGTTACTTATTTCATGTCTGGTTGGGAAAATATTTCTGTATCATAAGGAATCAAAATGAATGGAGTGAACCCTGGGTGACAAATTTAAAGCTGAAAATAATTAAAAAGAAAAACACTGTAAAAGCTCAAGGAGGCTAAGAAGCTCATTTCATTATATACATTTTTTATGGTTCGTATTAACTTGCTTCTTCCTTCTGTTTTTCTGACTGGTTATCTTCCCAAGGGCTTACAGTTCAGCTGATTGATAACCGTTAGTCAAACCCAGTAACTGTATCTGTCTGTGGTTGGAGAGGGGTGTGGAAGTGAATGGCATGCCATTCTGTTGTGGTTTTCCTTCAAGCTTCCAATCATGCCAGACATTGTCACAATTGTAGATATGATGGGCAAAGGAAACCGTTGGTCAACCATAAACCAAAAACTGTTATTTAGGGCCTAACAAAGAGAGGAGGGGGAATGCCAGCTTAGCAAGCAGATATCCCTTGATCAGTCACATAATGAAATAGGACTGTTAAAGCCAGACTGAATATTAGATGCATCAGCTATAACAAGGTGCTAAGCGAAGAACTTTGTTCTGACAAATGAATATT